TGTATAAGGAGAATTATAGTTCAAAGTTCTTTTTAGTATCCCAAAGTAGAACAACTTCATATGTACTGAAACTGGCCAAAGGTGGTTTAGGTAGTGAATGTACACTCAAGTGACAGACTGGCATTTAAGTCAAGAGCTGGAGGTATTTGTGATTTAAAATAAGTAGGATCTTGGTATAATCACCAAACCAAAAAAGACTGCCCTTCAGGTATAAGGTAAAAATTGAGATCCCCTTGTCAGTATCCTAGAAGAGACATCAAAAGGAAAACACCATTTTCAAGTGTTTTGGAGCTCATAATTAGGTAGCATAAAAATAATGAGTGATTTAAGGTGATAGTACACAGATTATACTTGGAACTATTACTTCTAGATGGTCTTCCTGCTGAATACCTGCTCATCACTGGGACAATAGCTGTGGTGTCTGACCCCATTCAAAGGGAGGGGAGTTGATTAAAGGTATGAGTAGGCTTAAGGGACATGATTCCTGTCATTCAGAGCTCAGAAACACCTAGCCCAGTTCTTTTGTTAGCATTTAAAGATAACTGCAGAAGTGACTGCAGAAGTGTTGTCCTGAAAGGGCATGGAGAGTTTTTCTAGAGCAATAGCAGGATGAAACTTTAATTCAAAGGGGAACAGGATGAATAATGGTGGGGTTCTCTGCAGAGATAACCCATACATGGCTTATCTCTGAATAACTTCTGTACTAAACAACTTTTACCTGCTTTTTTTCAATATCTGCAGTACAAGATTTTTACCCATATTTGCAACTACATTTTCCTGAATGCTGGCAGAAGACATGTGATTCCTAGGTCAGACAACAGACTTGATGATTTAGAGCACAGCATGCAAGTGCCCCAGATCCTAGGGGAGGAATGTGGTGGATCTAGGTGAATATAGCACATGGAGTGGATTTTCATTGCTGGCAAACCTTTAATGAGCTGGTCATAGCAAGCTGCCTGACCAGAGACTTAAAAGAACAACTAAGGTTTAGGTAAGGAGTTTTCTACAAGACAGGGAAACAGCAATCGTGACAAAAGATCTAAGTGAAGAGACATTAAGTGCCTGAGCTGAAAATGAGCCATCCAAATTGAGTCCAGCAAAATGAGTTGTTTTTAAACTGATTGGGAGAAAGCAGTAGTGGAGCTGTATATTATCAGAATTATGAGGGCTGGGATTGTGGCTCGCATGTATGAGGCACTAGGTTTGATCCTCAGAACCACATAAAAATAAAGGTATTGCATCCATCTACAACTAAAAATATTTAGAAAAAAAGAATTATAAACATATATTTAAGACCATTTGTGTAGAGACTACTTCAGGGAAAATATATAAGAGGGGCAAAAAGTAAAACTTAGAAACAACATTAATGATGCTAGGTTTTAGTGAGGCCAAATAGGTCTGCAAATGAGTCACTGACAGTCTTTGTCAGAGAAATGTCATTGTAATGGTGAAGGCATATCCGCCTTCAGGGGTCTGAAAAGCAACTGAAATATAGGAATTATCTGGTAAGCAGAAATGAATTTAAGAAAGTGAGTGGATACAAAAAATTAGTCCATAAGATGGCAAGATTTAGGCTTTCTTTTGAGAGAGAAACTGAGAATGAATCTAAGGACAAGATTTAAAGGACAGAGCACAAACTAGAGTGGGGTGCTAAATAATTTCAGAAGAGCTGGTCATCACAACAGAATATTACTACACCTTGTCCATCATGCTCCATGCTTGAGGATTCTTGTCCACTTAGTGGATTATGAACCAGTTAAATCACTGAACAAGAAGCATCCTTGTATGTATGTTCTAGTTGTATGACTCTACATCGAGGGCTTCACTTTTTTATTGCTGATTTTTAACAAGAACATTTAATCTAAAAGTACATTCTCTTCCAATAACTAGCTTTCTCTTACCTTCCAAAATTCATTCAAGAAGAAACAAAACCAAATGAAGACAATTTGACAAGTAATATGAAACTGCAACACAAAAGCGGTTATGAGGCATAAATGAGAAGAAGCAATGTTAACTCCCTGCTGTAGTGGCAGTCAGTGCTGGTTATCTTTTCCCTTTCTGTCCCCTCACCTCATACCCACTCACCACCAAAACCTATCCAGCAGTGCTTAAAAAGGTTAGCCGGTAGAACAGAACATTCATCTTGAAACCTCAATTCTTACCTGAATCTTTTTTCACTTGGTGTACTTTACATGGACCTAACTTTTGGTAGCAACAAGGAGTTTCCCTAAATTTCACAACCAACAACTACAATAACAGGTTTAAAAACCCTGTTATTCATTCAGTTGCAACCAATGCAAAACCTACTACTACCTGTTAGGTCAGCTTCTAGATCAAAATCATTCTGCCTACCTGCATGTCCTATTTTAGCAGATCATCGTGGCTGATTAAAGTGATAAAGATTCACTTTAACTGGCTAAATGTGTTGCCTAAACTAGAGAGAGGTCCAAGAGGCCCCTAATAAGATATAGGTTCAACTTGTAATAGCAGCCTTTAAAGTACTGTACAAAAATAATAATTGTGTAACTTGTTAGAAAGTTGGGGGCTGGGGTTGTGGCTTAGCTGTAGAACACTCACCTAGCATATGCGAGGCTCTGGGTTCAATCCTCAGCACCACATATAAATAAAGTTTTTAATAAAAAAAAAAAAGAAAGTTGGGAGTTAAGGGAAATGGCAGTTAAAATTTTTCTCACAGCTTCAAACTGTAATATTCTCCCACTCCAAGTGGGAATCCAGGATTCATTTTGATTAAATATCATTTTCTCTTTTTTTTAAGTATTTTAAAAATATTTAATGCAAGAATATATTTGACTTGGCTTGTTCAAGATTAACATCAGTACATTTCCATACATTAATTGATAGAACTATATAGAAAGGAAAGAAAACATGTTACAGATAGGTTGTTTTCATTCTTTTTTTGCTACTTGAGATCAATATGAATTCCAATCCTGGATCCTTCAGAAAAAGCAATAACATCTAATAAAAGAAGATTTAAAGCCACAGACAGCATTTAGAGTCTCTGCATACTCCTGCATGGTGAACACTTTCATACGTGCTCTTGGTAAACTAAAATAGTCAGCATTATCCATGATTCTGTTATAACTTCCACTATAGGCTCATATCTGGAAAACACAATAAACCAGGCCAAAAATCTGTGTAGAGAAATTTAATGAAGTGACTCAAATGGTTTCAGCCATGACACAAGGATGTCAGAAGTTAATGAAACCCCTTTTCTTATGCAAAATTCCAAAATAATAATACCCCAAGTATTGAGTTTCAGCTTGAGTATCAGTAAATACCCTTTGTTCCTGTACTACTTTAAATGGATATTACCATTTTCATTTTGTGTGTAAACTCCCCTGTGTTCCACTAGTTATGAAAGCAAAGTATCTTTTGTACTCCATCCATAAAAACATTCATTAGATACCATTTTCTAAAAGGTAAAAACATTGACCAGGTTACCACACACTTCCAAAAATAAAATGTTTCATACTCGTTATAGGATATCCCTACTTCATTTGTTTCCTTTCATAGTCTTTGAATGCACCATAAGATCACCAGGTATAACACTAAAAGAACAAGACTGAAATACAAAACCAAGTTTTAGCAAGCATCTGCCTTGTCTGTTGTAGGAATGCTACATCAATATGAAGTGTCTTTGTTTCTATAGCACCAGTGATAGCTATGATGGCTAACCATACCAAGTGTACATGAGGAGATGTAGACCAACTGGCTGGCACCACTGTAAAATCATAATCACTTTGGAGAACAGTTTGGCAGTGAAATGTGTATATGAGATAAACAACTTGTATAAAATGTTCTAGCTCCTTTACTTGCAACAGCCAAGAACGGAAAGTAGCCCAAATGTTCACCAACATTTAAGTGGATAAACAATTCCTTTTAAAAAAGGAATAAATAACTGTTACAAACACAGATGAATCTCCAAATAATAAAGACCAAAAGAAAAAAGTACATATGGCATGATTCCATTTTTATATAATTCAAGAAAATGCAAACTAATCATTAGTGATAAAGTTTACCAGTGATTGTCCGAAGACAGAAGAGTAGCCAGAGGGATTATAAATGGGCACAGGGAAACTTGCAGGTGGTAAGTGCGTTCATTGTCTTGATTTGAGTTATTCCATGGTTCTTATATAAAATTTCACCAAATTATACACTTCATTTAAAAAGCCATTTGTCTTTTTCACTCTTGATCTTATATGAGTACACAGTGCTATTTTCCAGAGATTAAATGATATATAATGTCTCCACTCATAGCAAATAGAATATATACTCATGTGTCTTTTGTTTAAAATTTTTGCTTTATTTACCAGTATGGTAAATATCATGTAAAACCAGTAGTGTGCTAGAGCAGTATTGTACCAGGTTACATGAGCCAACTTTTACACATAAATAAAAACACATTAGTCCAAGAAGATTCTGAGACCAAAAGTGGTTCCGAAGTTTTTTTATCTATGGAGCTATAAAGTATTATTAGGGAAAAAAGCAAACTGAAAAGCAGAAAAAGATGAAATTTTCTGACACTCAATCCTATCAGAAAAATCTTCTGCAGACACACTGAGTTGCTTTCACCAATGCCATTTTCCCATGAGGCTCACTGTTGACCTGGCCTTTCCTCCAAGATCAGGAAGGCCTAGTGTTAAGTCATTAGCTCCTTCTTGAATTTAAAGAGCCCAAAAGCTGCTAGGAAAGAAAAGGTTGCCATATCCTCTGGCAAACACCAAGGATCCATCATCTTGCTTCCCACAGCTATGCAGGGACTAACAATAACTTTAATATACTTTTGAAGACGAATAGCAGCAGACCAACTCAAGCAGGTGGGATAAGAGGCTTAATATAAAAAAAGGTTTGTATTAGGTACATCAACCAACAGGATACCAAGATATTTTTTTTTTTTTAAAGAAAGAGTGAGAGAGAATTTTAATATTTATTTTTTAATTTTCGGCGGACACAACATCTTTGTGGTGCTGAGGATCGAACCCGGGCCGCACGCATGCCAGGCAAGCGCGCTACCGCTTGAGCCACATCCCCAGCCCCCAAGATATTTTTTAACCTACTGCTCTTCGGCATCTTAAGGAAAGAAGCTTCATGGACCCCCCTTTCTGCTCTTTGATGCCAGTCTGTGTCCTTTCTAACTATTCAAGATGGCTTTATCATCTCAACAGACAGCTCTCCCAGGAGGAAAAGGCTGAAATTTATTTAAAAAACCATTAAAGAATTCAATAGGAGCCTAAGTATGTAGCTCAGTGGTAGTATGTGTGAGTCTTGGTTCAATCTTCATCACCCCTACAAAACAAGAATCAACAGAAGCTATGCTACAGAAACATTTGTATCTTCCTGTTTTGTGAGATGTTGGAAACAAACTTTAGGGCTTTTTCGTCTCCACTGCATAGAGGTCTGATCGCTTCTGTTTAAAAATGGGGATTTGCTGGCGTATTTCAGCCAACTTCTTCAGGTCTGCAAGAACAGGAAAGTGCATGATTAATAATTTGCAAATCTTCACTGACCAAGGGGATTTCTTCCCCAAGCTGCAAAAACAACTAGAGTCTCAGCAAGTAACTTACCTAATATAAATGCACTTTATCTGAATGCACCCATAGCCCCGCAGTGGTTCCAAGATCATTGCAAAGCAAACCAAGCAAAGCTATAGCCCTATGCACCTGGCCTTAAAATCAGACCTAGAATACTCTGAATCCCAAAAAGGGGGTATAAAGGAGTCATTTCAAGTGACTGAGGCTTCATACTTCAGAGCAGTGGGGATACAAGGGAGCCAAATTCCCAGAGCCAATCTTACCTATGTCTGAATACAGGATCATTTCTTCAGTGCCAGCTTTGGCTAGGACCTCCCCCCTGGAAAAGATTCAGAGGGAAATGAGTGGACTTACTACCATCTGGTCATTTTCCAGGTCTCTGTTTTTCCCTCCCTGTCTCACAAGCCAAAGGGAAGATTCTGAGACCTAAAATAAAATGGCATGTGTACAAATCCCTGCTTTATCATTTAGTAGCTGAGTGACCTTATGGCAAGTCATTTGGAATCACCAAGAGCTCTGTGAGGCTTAGTAAAATTATGAAGTATGTTTCATAAAACTGCATACTACTAGGAAGTGGCAGCTATTCCACAATTATAAACATCTGGGAATAAAGTTAACTAGAAATAGCGCCACACTATTTCTTCATGAGTGCCCTTCAACGAGGACCTTTCCAAAGGCAGTCTTGATCTTCTTACCCCTGCCCAGGCAACTATTCAACTTGAGGGTGGTGATTCTGGGTCTGAGCAGACCCCAGCTCTGCTGGAATCCCTGCAGGCTAAGGGGTTTTGGTTTCAGATTCAAGCAAAAGATTTAAAACTATAGAGTCTGGTGGGGCATCCACATGCTTAAGACTAATCTGGAAAATTAATTCCAGTGCTTAGTCTCAGCCCAGAGCAGGTATTCAGAAACTTTCAGTGAAATAAATGTTTTTTTAAAGTAATGTGTCATAACAAACAATCTGACATAATAACTGGTTCCACTTACTAGAGAGCCATAAACATTCCTGGCACAGATGGCATTTAACCAAAAATCCTTTTCTGTTCTTTTCTAATTCTTGTCCATTTGTCCTGGCACTCAAAAATCCCTCTCTGTGTAACCCAGGCACCCACCCCCATGTCAACATAAGCCAGAGAGCCCCCAGGCCCTGTGGAATGAAGAAGGCAGATCACAATCTATCCCAAGAACTAGCTATGGAGCAGCTGCCCAAGAGGCAGGAAGCCTATTAATAATATCCTGACAGAGGAACCTGATGCAAGTTTATGGAAACTGTTAAGCCAGCTTAACCCTTCCAGTCCAATATCCTCCAAATTTAACCCTAACATGTAGAATGATCAGGGAGAATTTCACTAGTCATATTTTTCTCATATCTTCCAAGGCCTCCCTACCATACACATTGAGCTTTGGATGCTATAATGTCAGAAGAGTGAGCATCTTCGGACTCCCATAGCAATGTTTAACCGTTCTCAGTCTTGTCTATTAAGCCTGAAATTGTGTAAGTACATATCTGTGTGTGCGTGTGCGTGTGTGTGTGTGTGTGTGTGAGAGAGAGAGAGAGAGAGAGAGAAAGAAAGAGCTGTGTGAATATTCATACACAGAAACAGTGAAGAAGAAGGCCAATTTCTAGAGTCCAAAGTCCTGGATCCAGTTAAACTCTGAGAAGTACAGTTCTACCCTCAATAATCTGAATTTAATAAGGATAAGCTCCTGAGTCCAAGTTAATCATGTTTGTGAAAGTACAATATAAACTCTACAAATGCGGACCACAAGGTCTGCATATTAAGGGATGAGTGAATGTTGTATGTCTGAATGGACTTATATGCTGCTTTCACTGAGTAATGTTTTACCCTTTCACAGGAGACAGGGTCATAGTTTCCCTTACTAAACCCAAACTCCCTGCTTCTCTAATCATTATGCTTCGAACAAAGTCCTTGCCCTGTAACTCATTCCTGTCCTAGAATCAGTTACTCAGCTTAAATTTTAACCAAAAGTTAAAAAAGAGTTCAGGAATCTCTTTTATTAAAACCACTCACCCTTCACTACTGCCTTGTTTACTCTAAGTGATTCAAGTGTGATTGACAGTGAAAGTTCACTTAGACACAAAGAAGAAGGCTAAGGTCAAGCACGTAGGTAATTTCTTTTCACATGGTTTTCAAGGGGAAGCTTCTCTTGTGCCTGTCATGTGTGGAGAACTGGGAGTGGAAGATGAAGGGGGCTGGTCAGGGTTTAGACAAGCTAACTGCCCATGTGTCATCTCTCAAGCTCCCACTGAGCCCACCCTCACTTAGATACACTCACCAAGGGTTCACGACAGTGCTGTGTCCCCAGGCAACATAGGAGGCGTTATCATCCCGGGCAGGAGAGGCTGTAGCCACATATATCTGATTATCAACAGCCCTGTAGCCAGTGAACAGAAAAGAGGTTATGCACATTATACATCTACAACATTTCTCTATCCCAAGTACACAGATTCTTTGTTAAAAAGAAAGAAAAAACTACTAGAAGAAAACACAGAGGCAATGTTTCAGGATATTGGAATGAGCAAGGATGGCGGGGGGGCGGGGCAAGACCCTAAAAATGAGTGGATCAGTTACTCAGCCTAAATTTTAACCAAAAGTTAAGAGTTCGGGAATTTCTTTTACTAATAAAACCACTCACCCTTCACTACTGCCTTGTTTACTCTAAGCGATCCAAGTGTGATTGACAGTGAAGGTTCACTTAGACACACAGAAGAGGACTAAGGTCAAGCACTTAGGTAATTTCTTCATCACATGGTTTTCAAGGGGAAGCTTGAAATAGATGAGATTATGTCAAACTAAAAAGCTTTTCCACAGCAAAGGAAACAATCATGAGTGCAGAGACAAGGTAGAGAATGGGAGAAAATATTCACAAGTTATATATCTGACAATGTGCTAATATCCAGACTATAAGCCAGATGTGAACAGAATACAGGTAGTACCTGCCTGTAATTCCAGCAACTTTGGGAGGGTGAGGCAAAAGGAGTATAAATTTGAGGTTAGCCTCAGCAACTTAACAAGATTCTGTCTTAAAATTTTTAAAAAAGGGCTGGGATATATAGCTCAGTGGTAAAGTGCCACTGAGTTCAATTCCCAGTACCAAAAAAAAAAAAAAAAAAAAATCAGACTAAAAGCAACTCCAGAAACTCAACAGCTAAAAACCAAATAAACCTGATTTAAAAGTAGACATTTCTCAAAAACAACAACAAAAAACAAACAAACAACAAAAAAAAACATATAAATGGTTCTATAGTCCAGATCCTGAATGTGCCCCAAAATCCCACACGTTGAAGAGTGGTCCCAGCTCAAAGCACTACCAGGAGGTGGCGGAACCTGTAGGTAGAGCCTAGTGGAAGGAACTTAGTGGGGGTTGACCCTGAAGAAGATATTAGGACTCTGGCCCCTCCTCTTTCATTCTTTGCTTCCTGGCCACCCTAAGGTGAACAGCTCTCTACCATTTGTTCCAGCTGTGATGAATCCACAAGTACTACTACAGGTCCAAAGCAAAGGGGCCATCAAGTCTATGGGCTTCCTAGTAAGTGAAGATTCACTGATGTCCCTCAGAGATTGCCCATGCACCAGCAACTTCAGAAAGAACTAGAAGAGGAACACAAACTAATAAGCCATGTGGGAAGTGCTCCTTCTATCTTTTAATGGACATTTGGGCAAGCATGAGAAATCAAATCAATTCCAAAAAGAGGTGGAGCAACTAGATGAATTAATGTTTGCAAATGCAGAGGAAGAATTTTTCTATGAGAAGGCAGTCCTGAGTTCAACTACTCAGGGCAAGAGGAAAGCAACACTTGCTCTTGTAAACTATGATGTTAATTCTAGACAACAAGATGAGTGAATTCATGGATAAACTAGAAGAACATCTATCTAGCCCATTTTCTGTGAACAGTGATGGGCTTGTTCATGTAAAATTACCAGAAAACCCAGTTAAGATTTACTGAACAACTCATAATTGTATTGAGATTCAAGTCCATTATGAAAAGTAGAGTTCTGTTCCATGTATTTGTGACACATTTACAAAACATCTTTTTGGTTAAATTATGAATGGTTGATTAAAAACTTCCAATAAAAAAACATTGAGTAGTAATTTTAAAGAACTGAATAAAAACTCAAATTTTTTATTTTTAAAAAATCTGTAAATGCTCAGTACAAACAAAAAATGGTTTCTGAATAAAAGAAAAAAGCATTTGGAGTTTAGCTCAATGGAAGAGCACTTGCTTAGCATGCACAAGGCCCTAGGATCAATCCTTGGCATGGTAGGGGGAGTTAGAAAAAAAGGCAGTACAGGTTGATTCCACTGTACAGGCCAATGTTAAGGAAACTTCTCTTCAAAAAATATTTAGTTGGGCATTATGGTGTACACCTGCAGTCCAAGCCACTTGGGAGGCTGAGAGAGGAGGATTACTTGAGCCCATGCATTCAAGACCAGCTTGTGCAAGATAGTGATAGATCCCAGTCGAAAAAACAAAAACACATCTGTAATTCAGTGGTTCTCATTCAAGGGTGACTTTGCCCATCAGATTTGCCAATTTCTGGAGTCTTTTCTGATTATCACAACTAGGGAGTTGTTATTGGCATCTTGTAGGTATAGGCCAGGGATGCAATTAAACATCCTCCAATGTATAGGACAGTGCCACAACAAAGAATTATCTAGTCCAAAATGGCAACAGTGCAGTGAGGAGTGTGGCATAAGCCAACCTGTAATGCAACAAAAGAGCAAAGCTTCTCTGTTTAAAACATATCAAGCTTTCCAGAAAATGGAGTAGCCTTACTGGGGCAATACACATTGGAGGGTGATCTGGCACTTCCTGCCAATGATGGCAGCCCCACCATCTCAAATTAGCAAAAACGTCAGGTGGGAGTCCAGGTATACCAACCCACTTCTCCTGGAAACCTTTAGATTCAGTCAATAGACCCATATTAGATCGTTCCAGTATGTCCCAAGCTTTCCTTGCTTTTGACAGAAAGGTACATTAATTAATATTTATGGCATCATATTCCAACTTCTACTTGACATCAGCCAAAACTTCTTGCCTTTCTATTCAAAATTATCATTATGTCTAGAAGTGAAAATAGAGAGTATTGACTGGGAAGGGGCACAAGAGAGCATTTCACAGATCAGAAATCTTCTATATGTTGATTTTTTTGGGTGAATACACATATAAAAATCCATTGACCTGTATGCTTAAAATTAGCACAGTTTTCTGTAAGTATATTATACCTCAATTTTTTTAAAAGATTAATGAAAAAACCATCACCTGCGACAACATTTCATGATTCATAGAGCACGTTACACACATAGTCACACTTTTTCTTTCCAGCGTACCCTTCACCCCTCCTCAGTCTTACAGAACTAGGGAAAAAGCAACTGTGACATGCCAAAAAAGTATGCAAAGCCTATAATTTACACATTAGAAGAACAAGAGCTTAAAATGAGTTTCTAGTCAGAGTATCCCAAGGACTAGTAGTTGGTGTGGAGGATGGGGCAAGATAAGCACCCTAAACTGAATGGCAGAGTCAGCTGTGCTCTCTAGGGCCAACAGGCTAAAATAACCCTGTCTTTTTTCTTTGGCTCCTGCGGTGCTGAGTGCATAAGCTCCATGGGTCTCAATTTCTCTGCAAAAGATGCTGGTAACTATCTTAGAAGAGACCAATTCATATCTAATCACAGAAAAATGAAATCAGTGTCCAACTAATTCACTGAATGCTCTCAAAATGCAAAAACCACAGTCCTTGAAATCCTTGAGGTTGGTTCTATGGCTTCTGAGCAGGTGCCTAGCAGTAGAAGCCCTCCCTACAGATTCATCCTTTGAAACTTCATTTGGACGCCAGGGCGTGTTGGCTCAGGGGAAGAATTACATTCCAGTAAGTGGTAATACTTCCACCAAACCAAAAATCTTTCCACAAAGAGGAAACACTGAGATGACTGGTTCCTTTCTTACCGGCCTCGCTGAAGCAATTCCCAGTGGGCTGGTCCAGTGGTCAAATTGAAAGCCCCAGGATACACCAACAGCTGGCAACCTTGGGGAAAGAAAAATCAAAGACAGTGGATGCAGATGAACATCAGTTCCTCCCTTTACTCCTACCAACAGGGACCAAACTCAAACTTTTACAAGCACAAAAAAGATGTCAGCCTAGTCAGGCAGAGTCAGTATGAAGATATGGCTCTGAATTCTTCCAGAGATACACACATAAAAAACACAGCCATAAGAAAAGTGGGACTGATGACTGAAATCAGAACATATGCCTTTAAATAAAATAATAATAATTTTTAAAAAGTAGAGAACTTTCATTCAATTTTTTCTGAGCCCTGTATGATTAGTACCGCATGGCTAACAACCATGTTCTGTGATTCTTTTCAATTGAAATTAGGGGCAGAGTAGTTGCTCTAGAATTTACTGATAAGGTTCAACACAGACCATTAACCCCAAAGCCCAAGAAACTCTACCCTCTGCTGGGCAGGCAGTCAAACCACCCTTAACACTTCACTTTGCTCAGTGGCAAATGGCAAGTAGCTTTAGTCTAGTAAAATGCTAACATTTGTTGAGCACCCACATAGGGGCTTTACAAGTTCTCTATCCTTAATACTCAAACCACACTGCTCTAGATGTTAAACGATTTCCTGGAAGTACTGTCCCATTTAAGAAGAAGATTTGGAACCAGAATCCAGCTCTGACTTGGTTCTTCATGCTTCCAGACACTACCATGCTTCTCCTAATTTGGACTGAAATGTCATTGGCTATATGTCTGAGTGCTAAATTCATGGACATATAGGCCATTTCTTCATTTCTACTGTGTTCAAAGTTACTACAAACAGTAACAGGAGGGGCTTAAAAGATAGAGCAGACATTTAGGAGCATGGCTCCTGCTTTAGCTACATGGTAAATATGTTAAATTACAGCCCCTCAAAAGTACCATCATCCATATGCAGCAAGTCTGAGAAGCCAGATGGATTGAAAGAGTTGAACAGGGGGAAATCACATTTTATCCCTGGCTCTTCTGTGCATTTGGGCATAATTTTTGTATTTTTTTGTGCAAAGTTTATGCTTAGGGATCCCTCCACCCGAAAGCAACCCAGAACCAACTCTCTATGCAATTACGCATTAGAGAACATAATTGTAACACTATCTCACCTCTCTGTGCATACACTTGTGCAAGTTCTGCAAAGCGGATGTCATAGCAGATGCCCAGGCCCACTCTGCAATAAGCTGTTTCCAAACAGAAAATGCACAAATAAAAAAGTTAACCTCCTGTAGCATGATATGGCAGGGTAAAGCCTCTATAACTTAATGAGCACAAAACTCTAACTGGAATAAATTAACACAAGGAAGGCCATGTATTAGCTCAATCTTACTCAGACTTCATCTCATAAAGACCTCATTTACATCATCAGAACAGAAATGAAAAATTCATTCTACATGAATGCTCACTAAGTGCAGGGTGTTCAATCATGGCCTAACAGGAATACTCGAGGTAGGCCATGACCAAAAGGAAGAATAAAACTGTGCCAAACCCTTAGTACCCTATTTGGCCTGGACTTTCCAGGGCTATGACTATTCTTTGCCTTCCTCACCTCTCGGTTTTCAGTCAGGTCATGTGAAAAAGTTGAAGAGAGACAAAAAAAAAGAAAGGAACACCTCCTTCTCTGGGAAAAGTAAAAAAGGCAAATTTATCTAGTACGTACGAGTATCAAATGTGGAGAAATTATCACCAGGACTCAATGTTTTAGATTCTTGAAATGTAATTTTTCCAGGAACATCAATGTCAAACAGATGGATCTGCATCACAAATAATTGATTTGGTTATCTCCTTTTCAGCAGGGCTCATGGCAGTAACATCAGACTCTTTCCATGGGCAGATATAAAAGTGCTCTAAGATCAACTGTACAAACAGCACCTCCAACCTGCCCATAACCCACCCAACAAGCTGGCTGACATATGATCAAATGGAATTACACTACGGAAAACAATCCCATAGGTTTTATAACCCATTTTCTAGATGGTGTGTAAGTCAGTGTTCAGGTTTCTTAATGGAAGTAATTAAAGTGTTGCTTCTTTACCCACTGTAAATGGTCAATGACGACCTCTCAGAATCACAATCAGAATTAAACTGGCAAATTGGCAGCAGAGGTAGAGAATGAGTAGCATTTAACAACAGGAAAAGTTTTGCAATCCTAATTCAGCAATGTGCAAATGAGATTTAAGGAAAGTAAATGTGATTTAACATTAGAAAGTCACTGTAATTGATCACACAAATAAAATAAAGAAGAAAATATCAAGTGATATATACAGAGTATCTGGTAATAAACTTTTCTTTTTTCAGTGCAGGGGATCCAACCCCGAGTCTCACACATGCTAGACAAGCATTCTAACACTAAGCTGCATTCCCAACCCACATATGGAAACTTCTACAACCATTCATGATTCAAAAAGGGAAACAGAAAAACTCTTCTAGGAAGGGCGCTTTTAAAATCAATCAAAGAGTATCCGCAAAAATCCTAAACAACCATCATATGTAAAGGTAAAATATTGAAAATGTTCTGCTGAGACTGGAAGAAAAGCAAGGACACCTGTTATTCAAAATTACACCACAGATCCTACACAGAGCCCAAGGAAGGAGTCAAAAGCACAAGATTTGGAAAGAATAAAACCTGTCATTATTTTTGGATTATAATTGGTACTCAAAAAAAATCTACAAATAAATTTTAAAATTAATGAGTAAGTTTATCAAGGTTACTATACCCGAGATCAGTATTTTTAAAACTAGCTATACTTCTACATACTAGCATGAAACAGAAGATGAAAGATCACCAAAAAATACCAATGAGGAATGAATCTAAAGAATGTTAATTAAGACTATACCCAGAAAACTGTAAAAAAGAAGTTAAGATAATATTAAAGAATGCCTAATAAATAAAAAGATACAGTCCACGTTCACGGACTGGTAAACTCAATACTGAAAGCACATACGTGAAAGAGCTGAATGTTGGCTCTTCTTCCTGCAGAGGAAGAGTGGCTCCTATCAAAACAGCTCTCTAGAAGTTGGGCGTGTAATCCCAGCGCTCAGGAAGCCGAGACAGGAGGATCACAAGTTCAAAGCCAGCCAGCCTCAGCAAAAGCAAGGAACTAAGCAATTCAGTGAGACCCTGTCTCCAATAAAATACAAAATGGGGCTGGGGATGTGGGCTCAGTGGTCAAATGCCCCTGAGTTCAATCCCCAGTACCAAAAACAACAACAACTCTCTTGTGTTTAACTATAAATTCTAGTCAAACTACGTAAAGTGTTGAGGGATAACCAAAACCAGGCAACACCTGAAGGAAATAACACCAAATGAGTTTCCCATTCGCTTACAGTTTTCAGCCTTAATTAAGACCCACTGCTATTATGAGTTGTGGTGAAAACTACCCACAATAAGACTGGTTTAAAGAATCAGAGGCTAAAGTTTCACAGCAGCTGGAAAGCAAGGGAGGGAATCTTAAAAAGGGAGAGTCAAAGAGGGAGACTCTTAAATTCTGCATATAACTTTGTCCAAATCTTTGGATGGCTACTGAATTAAATGAGGGAGCAGCCTCCAAGCAGCCGGCTAAGGCTTAACAACTTAATAAGAAGAGTAGCTAAAGTTGCTGCTCACCTAACAAAGAAGCTAAGAGTTTGGTATTTGAATACAGCCAAGTTAACTACCTTTTAAAGCAAAAATATTCAACACTTTTCAGAGGAATATAATAGAATCTAGAACCTCTATAGTATATAATGCAATATATAATTCTAAATTACCTGACAAAGAAATGTGACTCAAACTCCAAGGAATAGGCAATCAAATGGATACAGACCTTGACATAACCCAGGTGTGATAATTATCAAAGACTTTAATGCAACTATTGAAACAAAACCCAAAGGCATAAATAAAAACACACTCTTTATGAATAAACAAACAGGAAATATCAGTAGAAATTTAAAAACATATCAAAGGTCCAAATAGATATTTTAGAACTGAAAAATTTAGTGTATGAATTTGCTGTTGTTGTTGTTATGGTGGTGGTGCTACTGCTGGGGACCAAATCCAGAGTCTAGCACAAGTAGGTAAGCGCTCTACCACTGAGCTCAAATACCAAATACCCCCAACTCAAATATCTCAATTCTTGAAAACTTCACTGGATTGGCTTACGGGATATTGGGAATGACAAAAGAGTCAGTGAACCTAGTAGATCAACAGAAATTGCCCAATGTGTAGAACTCAGAAACTAAGATTAGAAAGCAAAAACAACCAGTGCTAGAGGTGTAGCTCAGGGAGTGCCTTCTAGCTTGTGTGCTTGTGCAAGACACTGGGTTTGATCACCAGCACTGCAAAAAAATATATATACATACAGAGCCTTGGTGACTTTGGAACAATACCAAACAATACAACATATGCATACTAGAGTCCTAAGAATGGGACAGAAAAAATACTTAGCAAAAATATTCCAAAAACTTCCCAAATGTGGTGACAAACTTAAGTTTTAAGAAGCACCAAGCAGGACAAACCAAAGAAAACCATATCTAGGCACATCAGAATCAAACTACTGAGAAGTAAAGATTACAAAAAAGCTCTTGAAAGCAAAAAGAAAAGAACATCAAATTATATACTGGAGAACAACAATATAAATTACTACTGATGTCTAATCAAGGGGGCAGGGGGAGTCAGAAGATACCAGCTAGAGAAAAAAAAAAAAAAAGTGAACCAAATTCTATTCCAGCAAAAACATTTTTCAAGAATGAAGTAAAGATATGCTTACTAACAAAATTCATAACTAACAGATGATCACTACAAAAGTGCTAAAAGGACATCCTTCTGTTGAAAGAAAAGATACAGGATCTTCAAGAAGGAAAGGAAAACACCAGAAACAGTAAAGAGTTGGGTTATCATTATGATTTTTCCCTCTTAATTTATTTAAAATACTTATAACTATTTAAATCAAAACCTGTTTTGTGATACTTATAACACATGTGTATGGAATACATATGACAACTGTAGCATAAAGAATGAGGAACAGGAAGGCTAGGGTTGTGGCTCAGTGGCAAAGTGTTTGCCTTGCACATGTGAGGGACTGGGTTCAATCCTCTGCACTACATAAAAACAAATAAATAAAATAAAGGTACTGAGTCCTTCTACAACTAAAAATATTTTTTAAAAAAAGAATGAGGGACAGGAAACAGACCTTGCCATTGCAAGGGTCTTTAGGTGAAACAATACTAATTCTAAGTAAACTGTGACAAGTTAAGGATGCATATTATAATCCCCAGCACAACAACTGGAAAAAAAAAAAAAGGGATCTCAGTAGTAGACTGTGTGCTTAGCAATTTCTAGTACCAAGACGAAAAAAAAAAAGAAAAGAGGTATAATTAAAAAGCTGAAAGATAAATTAAAATGAAATTCTAAAAACTATTTAGTTAATTCAAAATAATGCAGAAAAGAAGAACAAAGGGAAAAATAATCTGTATGCCAAATCTAACCATATCAATATTCACATTAAATACAAATGAGTGAACCACTCCAGTTAAAAGGTAGAAACTGTTGATTTGAAATAAAAAAGTAAGAGCCAACTATATACTGTGTACAAGAGAACCATTTAAAATATAAGACACATACAGATTGAAAATAAGAGATAAGAGCTGGATGCCAATGGCACAAGTTTGTAATGCCAGCAACTGAGGCTGAGAAGGCTGAGGTAGGAGGACCTCAAGTTGGAGCCAGCCTCAGCAACTTAGTGATACCCTGTCCAAAACTTCACAAAAAGTTAAAAGTGTTAGGGATGTAATTCAGTGGTAAAGTGCCCCTGGGTTCAATTCCTAGTACCCAAAACATTAAAAATAAATAAACATCGATAAACATTTATTAGGCAAACAATAAACTTTAAAAACTTGGAGTAACTAGTATTAGCAGAGATAAAGTTGACTTCAAGAGGGAAAAAAAGACAGGAAATAAGAGCCATCTCATAATGATAATTTTTTTTTTATCATTTTCCTGATCAATTCTTCAGGAAAACTTAACAATCCTAAATGTATGTGCATTTAGTACTGCAGAGATGTCAACTCACCCCAAAACAATCTCTGTATATTCAATAAAATCCTAATAAAAATTCCTGCAGGTTGTTCCTTTGCAGAAATTGACATGCTGAGCCATTTATTAAAAAAAGGTGTGTGGACAAGAATAGCCACTTGTGCCAAAAAGTAATTTGTGTGTATGATAAGAGGCACTAGGAAACTTTGAAGTAGATTCTTTTGGGGGCGGGGGGCAGGGGGTACTAGGGATTGAACTCAGTGGCACTTGACCACTGAGCCACCTTCCCAGCCTGAGTTTGTATTTTATTTAGAGACAGGGTCTCAGTGAGTTGCTTACCACCTTGCTTTTGCTGAGGCTGGCTTTGAACTCACAATCCTCCTGCCAGAGCTGCTGAGATTACAGGTGTGTGCCATTGTGCCCAGCTGAAGCAGAGGCAATGAGACTTGCACATTCCATACTTACTTTTCTGTGCTTTACTAGTAAAGTTCCATCAGGCCCAAAGACAGCACAGGTGTTATATAATTTCCCAGCATCCTCTTCAGGGATGGAGCCTTTCATTGAGAGAAGAGACACATTGGCACACAAATCAATCAGAAACTAAAAAGAATAGAGCAATTATTTTGTGATAACTGGTGATAATTATTTTGTGATAAAGTCCTGATAAACTGTCACTTGGGTCCAATGATATAGTTTATTCCCTTCTAAACATTATTTAACTGTTTTTCCTTCTTGAATACGATCTTTCAGAGATAAACTACAAAGTAGGTGAAATATAATCAGATCACATGCCAAAGACAGATTTAAAACATAACCAAACTGCTTCTCAAATTCAGTCATGATCTTAAGCAACACTGTTATATATTGTAACAGAGCCAAACAATTTATTGTTGTTCACCTTAATTTCACTAGGTCCTGCAACAAGGCTATCTCCCAAAAGGCCTCAAGATGAGAACATTAAGTCATAGGACTCTTCATCACTGAATGCAGTTCCATCTCTATGCTTCTTGCTTTGCTATGTCTTACTCATTTTTATTTAATATTTATTTTTTAGTTGTATTAGATACAATACCTTTATTTTGTTTATTTATTTTTTTGTGGTGCTGAGGAACCCAGGGCCTCGCATGTGCTAGGCAAGCACTCTTACCACTGAGCCACAATCAAACCCCTGTCTTACTCATTTCTAACCCTTAATATAGCATAACACAAAGATAATTTTGTTTGCTGTATTTACTGAACAGAATTTTACTGTGTTTATTTTTAATTGTACCAAATAGAACAATTTACTTCAAAATCACAAAAATAAACCTACCTTTATGCATGTGGCCTCTAAGGAAAAAAAAAAAACTTCTCAACCCTATGTTAGTATCGTAAAAAACATAGATACGGTTTATCTTTCCACATTTCTATTTGCCTCTGCACCACTACTTTTTCTCCAGGGAAAATCATCAATATTAATGTGGTGTGTGTCTTTCTACAATAATTACTATGCCATCACATACATAACTACATATAAAAACATAGTATTATTTTGTACGAGGGATTAATCTGAATGGGAATACCCTATTCATAATCATGTTGAACTTGCTTTTTTCCTACTTTACAGTGTGTCTTGAAGCTTCTTCTACATTATTATTAGATATAAATCTACCTCATTCTTTTCAAGGGTTGAATTATGTTTCATAGTTTAAATGTAATAAAAATCATTTAAATGCTTTTAATGTTTAGGACATTACACCATGTTGAAGGAAGTTACCTCCAATGAGATATATGCTGCACTCCTTTGCTACTTCAGAAAGCTTCTGTGTGGATTCACCAGGAATTTTCTCTGCATATTCAGGAAAATATTTTGTGCCATATGGAGAATTAAAGCATTCCTAGAATAAAGTTGTCAGAGAAAAGGAGAAGGAATAAACCTACCAAACATTCAATCCTTTCTTAAAGTTCTGCTAAAAAAAAAAAAAAAAAAGACATGGCTGCTGCTTCCAACTCTGCTATCACTTGAAAGGGTAAAACACAGCTAAGAAAAACCCCCAGTACTAAAGAACCTATGGCCAGGGCTGGGGTTTGGCTCAGTGGTAGGGTGCTTTCCTAGCATGTATGAGGCACTGGGTTTGATTCTCAGCACTGAATATAAATAATAAAGGTCCATTGACAACTAAAAAATATTAAAAAAAAAAAAAAAACCTATGACCAAAAACAGACTAGCCAATTATCCCAGGTGGGGCTACAGGAGGTAAGTCATGTGAGCTCTACCAGATCCTAGTCACCCTGGAAGAAGGCTAGACCTGCCTTTGCCTTGAGTGTACAAAACAACATGTTCTCAACCCTGGACTCCCAGACCTTACTATAAATTAGGTTTACTCATTTGACTTTGAGTATTGGTATGAATTCTTAAGTTTAAAATTATATTATAAACTATGCAACAATAAAACCTGTCCTGAAAAAATAAATAAATAAAAGCTTTCAAAGTCAGAGGTTAAGACATTTTTCCTCATCTATAAATGAGCTTTCAGCACTCCCATTCTGATCCTACAAAGTTTTTCATTGGGCAAGTGTATGTCTGTCTTCAACAGCTCTCTGACATGTCAAAAAACAAGTGGACTGGGTTTGTGGCTCAGTGGTGGAGCACTTGCCCAGCATGTGTGAGGCACTGGGTTCAATTCTCAGCACCACATATAAGTAAATAAATGAAATAAAGGTCCATCAACAACTAAAAAATATTTTTTTAAAAACAGGCAAAAATTATGAAAATTTCAACTCTAATTCGCTCATGCTGCATTTAATCACACTGCCTTGTACTAGGCAAGGTGCTGGGAAACTAAAGCCCAAAGATCACTATTTGTACAAGATGAATGTCAGTCAGTGAAAATGGCACACACGGAATTCACTCTCAGCAACACAAACCAATAAAGACACTATAAATACAGGAGAGTCCCATGACTGACAACATAAGGAAAACGGATTACCAGTGAGATCTCAAGAACTGGGGGGCTAGCTCAGTGCCTATTTGCCTAGCATGTGGAAGCCATGGGTTCAATCCCCAGCACTACCATTAAAAAAAAGAAAGAAAGACAAATAGTAAGATCTCAAACCTCTTGTGTTAAAAATTTCTGCTCACTGGCCACATTTGGGACAGTTTAGAGACTGACTAAAAGACAAGGTGGACCTGAAAATTCTCTAATCTGATAGGGTTTGTAAAGAGCTACCTCATCTTCATAGCTGGAGGTTAGTGGAATAGTCTCAACCACTGACCATCTCACAACACCTTTGAAAAACATGCCAGAAAATGCATGACCTGAAATCTGGGCCTGTCTGGGGAAAACCTGTACCTGCTGACAAACACATGTGGTGCAACCTTTAGCTGGTTCTGTTTTTCAGGAAACCACCCACAAAAGAGATGCAGAGTTTTACTAGCTTTAAGAAGCCACAGGCTTCCTTGATGTCTCCAAAAAAATTTTTTAGTCTTTAAAAAATACCTTGTCGGGCATGGTGGCACACACCTATAATCCCAGCAGCTCGAGAGGCTGAAGCAGGAGGATCATGAGTTTAAAGTCAACCTCAGCAATGGAAGGCACTAATTAACTCAGTGAAACCCTCTCTCTAAATAAAATACAAAATAGTGCTGGGGATGTACCTCAGTTGAGTGAGTACCTCTGAGTACCCAAAAAATCCCCAGTACCATAAAAAAATACACACACTTACTTACACACACACTCACACACACATATAGGCAGCTTAGTGCTAAAACCAACATGTTGTGGTCCTACAGAGACTTTTTAAAAAATCTTTAAGTAACTCCCTAAACATACTAGAATTTTAGATTCCTTATCTAAACAGAGTAGAAGACCTGGAAACATGTTAGTAAATTCTATGACAAAGATCCTTGCTAAGATCTTTTGTGATAGACAAAGATGACACAAACATGTAACAATATTGAAGCTCCAAAAGACATTGCTGAACTTGGAACATAAAAGGACAACCAGACCCAGCAAACACTATTCTGCTGCATCTACAGCAGAAAGGAATGGGTGCCTCCATACTTACTGGCAGAGAAACTATTTTGGCTCCTTGCTTTGCTGCCTCCCGGACAAGGCTACAAGCTCGAATGACATTATCTGATTTGATGGAAGAAACTTGAAGCTGGATGAGGGCCAAGCGGAAAGCTGGGGACAAAGACAAAACATATGTCAGAAGATCTGACCACTAAATTCATATAGAACTGATGATTCTTAGAGGGCATCTTGCAATGCTGGAGATATTTTTAATTGACACAACTACTGACAATCTAATGGATTAGATTATTAACACTGATGAAGGCCTATTTGGCTCAGGGTTAACCCTAAAAAGTAGGACAATTCTGATGTCACATTCCTTGATTTAATCTTTAATATAAGTGAAAAGAGCTAAATTTAACCCTAAAAAAGCAATTTGTTATTCAGTTTCAGAATCTGGATAAAAACAAAGATTCTAAAACAGGAAGCAAAAGTTGACATTACTTCAGGGCAAAGAGATACTTTAAGCTGTTACCAAAACACCACACAAACCCAGTAAAGGTCTCCCCTAAAATCCAGAAGCTGAGCTTTGTCTCTGCCTCTGAGCGGAGGAAAACATGGCTATGTTGGTGGCTTCCTCTCTCTCCCATCTCACAAGCAGGGCAAGGGTCTGCCTGACATTCTGCAAATCCCACTCTGCAGAGGGCTGCAGCAGGGAATCCCACCACTGTCGAGATCCTCCATGCTGAGGACAAGATACGAATCACATCATCTGCTCTTCTGCAAAATGAAGGGGAAAATTACTTATAGGACCCTTGGTTGCCTAACATTCATTATAATCTGACAAATCAAGCAGGAAAAAATAAAAGAATACCTTAATTGAAGGTATCAACATGCGAATAACATTTAAAGGAATATGCCAAGTCTTTTACACTTGTGAGGTAACAAGAAGCTTGCAGAGGGAAAGCTGCACAAATAAATGACTCTGTGAAGGACGATGGGGAGGAAGAATCACCTGGGCACCGTTTTGTGTCGGGGTAGGAGTGGGGCCACGAAACTTGAAACACTACACACTACCTACACCACCGAGAACTACAAGAGGGTCAGCCTCTGTCCGCCAGGAGGCGAGCGCGGCAGGAAGGGGAGCCCTCGGAATCCCAGGGAAAGCACTAGCCGCTCCTCAGCAATTCTGCCGCGCACGCCGACCTTCACCTGAGCTGACCAACACCTGCGACCGGAAGGCCGCAGGCGCAAGGGGGCGAGAGACTGAAGTGGCTGATTCTCGCCAGTACCGCACCAAGCCTCCGCTCTGGCCCTGCGGTGGCTGTCAGCCGGCCACCTCACTTACTAGCCATGGCTCTCCCTGGAAGCACCATCTGCAGCGCCGAAGAGCAAGGGTGGGGCGGACTGCGTCGGTGCGCGGGGGCGAAGCCACGTACGTGGGGGCGGAGCCACGGCGTCAAAGGCTCCGCCCACTCCCCTCATCTGGGCCGGCGACCAGGCGGGTTCCGCTCAGTCTTCTTCAAACCGCTCAGGTTCTTTTGGTTGCTTGTCGTGTATTTTCCGGAGACCGGGGTACTGGGATTCCAACGCTCTACCACTGAGCCGCATCCCCAGCGACTTTTATTATTTTGAGACAGGGTCTCGCTAAATTGCTTAGGGCCTCGCTAAGTTCCTGAGGCTGGCTTTGGACTGTGATCCTCCTGCCTCAGGGTCTTGAGCCTTTTGGATTACAGGCGTGCGCTACCACACCACGACAGGCTCCTGGGTTTTTTTCGTTGTTCTTTTGTTGGTTTTCCTGTTTCTTTTTTCTTTGGCGGTGCTGGGAAGGAACGCAGTTCTTTGAGATTGCAAAGCAAGCGCGCAGGCACGCACACACGCCGCCTCAAACCCCTATTAACGGCTCGCTGTTTGCACTAGCCTGGACCAACAAGAAATGGTTAATTACCACAGGGGCCGGAAAGTTGAAGGTCTCCTAAGGCAAAGGGCAAAGAGGGGCAACCTAAATCATGGCAGTGTGCTGGTAAATGTTTCGTAAGCGGGCTTTCTGTGGTGGAAAAGCCTGATTTGGAATGTTTACCAGTTCTTGGCCAGGGTCTGAACTCCTTGCTAGTTGGAACCTCTGTGGCCCTGGGTAATTCCTTGTGCTGATTGATTTGAGCCACGTGAACAAATCGCTGTGACCGGGGTGGAAAGACATTGGTTGATTTAGAACTGAACTTCAAGGCTGCTACCTAAAGAGGAATGGGAAGAGAGATAAAAAGACTCATTATCCTGTGCAACATATAAGATCCCTAACATTCGGAAAGCTGCTTGCTAAAATTCTATTTTAGGATTAGAATTTATATTTGTTACATTGCTTTTTTTTTTTTTAAGGAAATAAGGTGTTTTTTTTTTTAACAACTTGGTTTATTATGTGGTGCCAAGGATCGAACCCAGTGCTTCACATGTGCTAGGCAGGTGACTACCACTGAGCCACAACCCCAGTCCTGCTACATTGCTTTTTAATTGTGTTTTCGTGACTTGTCAGATTTGCAGATCAAAATCAATAAATGGATTTTGAACTTTCTTTTCTAATGACTTGGACTCATTTAAATTAAGTTAACAAATAACAATAAGTTAACAAATAACCCAATCAACAAATGGGCCAAGGACCTGAACAGACACTTCTCAGAGGAGGACATACAATCAATCAACAAGTACATGAAAAAATGCTCACCATCTCTAGCAGTCAGAGAAATGCAAATCAAAACCACGCTAAAATACCATCTCACTCCATTAAGATTGGCAGCCATTCTGAAGTCAAACAACAACAAGTGCTGGCGAGGATGTGGGGAAAAGGGTACTCTTGTACATTGCTGGTGGGACTGCAAATTGGTGCGGCCAATTTGGAAAGCAGTATGGAGATTCCTGGGAAAGCTGGGAATGGAACCACCATTTGACCCAGCTATTGCCCTTCTCGGACTATTCCCTGAAGACCTTAAAAGAGCATACTACAGGGATACTGCCACATTGATGTTCATAGCAGCACAATTCACAATAGCTAGACTGTGGAACCAACCCAGATGCCCTTCAATAGATGAATGGATAAAAAAAAATGTGGCATTTATACACCATGGAGTATTACGCAGCACTAAAAAATGACGAAATCATGGAATTTGCAGGGAAATGGATGGCACTAGAGCAGATTATGCCAAGTGAAGCTAGCCAATCCCTAAAAAACAAATGCCAAATGTCTTCTTTGATATAATGAGAGCAACTAAGAACAGAGCAGGGAGGAAGAGCAGGAGGAAAAGATTAACATTAAACAGAGACATGAGGTGGGAGGGAAAGGGAGAGAAAAGGGATATTGCATGGAAATGGAAGGAGACCCTCATTGTTATACAAAATTACATATAAGAGGTTGTGAGGGGAATGGGAAAAAAAACAAGGAGAGAAATGAATTACAGTAGATGGGGTAGAGAGAGAAGATGGGAGGGGGGAGGGGGGATAGTTGAGGATAGGAAAGGTAGCAGAATACAACAGTCACTAATATGGCATTATGTAAAAATGTGGATGTGTAACCGATGTGATTCTGCAATCTGTATTTGGAGTAAAAATGGGAGTTCATAACCCACTTGAATCTAATGTATGAAATATGATATGTCAAGAGCTTTGTAATGTTTTGAACAACTAATAAAATAAATAAATAAATAAGTAAATTATATTAAAACAGATCCTGAGTTTTCAAAGAACACTATAAAAACATCTGGGGAACAATTAGGAACACTTAAATGTGAACCGACATTTGATGCTATATTTTGGGGGTTTTATGTTTAATATGGTATGACAATCATGCCAGATAATGTCACTACTCTTAGGTAAGGCATGCAGAAATAGTTAGGGGTGAAGTGTCAGAATATTAAGTGAAAATGGCCAGCAGAAAAGGAACATAATATTATATACTTAGTTTGGGGAAATTGAGTTCATAAGACAAAAATGGCAAAATGTTAGTTGCTAAATCTAGGAGGAGGATATATAGCTGTTCACAAAACTTAGTAAAGTTTAAAAATTTTAAACTTTGATAATAAAAAGTTGAGGGGGAATACATAGCACTTATAGGTTTCTGCAGCTTAAATGAAAAGATAAATTTTTTTAAAAAGTGTTTTTTAAAGTTTTCTTTCAAATTATCTGGGCATAATGGGAAAGTTAGGCATTGGGTTCTAGCTCTGACTGTGATCCTGATTTGATGTTAATACCAAGGCCAATCGTTTCACCTTGTGAACTTTTTCATCACCTGTACAGGAAAGGACTTATAAGCAAAGGAAGGAGAATGAGGCCAAAAGACTGTTTGTGCAACTCTCCTTGCCCCTGCTCTATTTCCTGAACCTTCAAGTGCAGCAGCTCTGCCTTCCTTTCCATGTTGTTTTATATTATCTTTGAAACAAGACAAAATATAAAACTACTAGACCAAATGTATCTTGAAGGTCCAGCTAAAACTCTGATGTTGCTTTTCAGTCCCTATTCCCACTGCCATTCATGTCTGTCTCAAAGTTTTAATGACCATTTCCAAGTTGGTAGCGGTCAGATTTCTATTTTCTACTCTGGAGGAGATAGTTCACAATCTCCAGCTGCCTGTAAGCCATCTCTGTTTACATGCCTTGACATTGGTTCAAACTCAGTTATTTGAAACTAAATGGGTCATCTCCAAAAAAGATTTTCCTCCTAGCCCTTGTACTCATTCTTGCCACTCTCTTGCCTCGTTTTTCATTTTCCGCTGGTCCCTACCCTCCCAAAAAATTTAAGCCATTTCAACATCTTTCAAGTCTTTCATCACCCATCTGTGGTTAGGGATAGAATTCTCCCTGACTCAAAAAATGTTCCTGCTGTTTCCCTTCAGTTTCCATCACCATCCTCCACAGTTAGACCTTCCTCACCTTGGAGAGGCTGCTGCAGACATGTCATAACTGGTCTCCTATCCTCCAATCACTCCTTCATAATATTAGATACTTAGTTTGGGGAAATTGAGTTCATTTCAGGTGGGTCAGGAAGATATGTAAATGATAGTAAAGGATAGGTAATTCAGAGAAAAGGGGCTGAAAATCAGAAGGTATTAGAGTCCTTTGCACAGAATAAAAGGAGAAACTAAGAATAAATCCTAGAAGGAGAGAATATGATGCTACAGGATCAAACTTAGTAATTATATGGTTAGAACTTTGTACAGGGAGGAGTTTGTGTGTGCCTGTAAATATACATACATAGATAGATACTTTAAATCTCTAGTGAAATTGTCAACAAATCAGAAGATCAGAATTCAGAACTTTGCTGACAGCATGTGACTTTGGGCAGGTTATTCAGTGTAGGGAAGGCAATTTAATATACCTACTAGATAGGTAACTATGGAGTAAAGCTGTCAACTTTGAAGACAGAAAAGCAAACAAACAGTGAACTGAAAGCCACTAATTCTGGCCTCCTGTTTCCAAGCCAGCCTACCAAAAGGAGGCAGATTAGAATTGCAGTATGAGCATAAATTTTGAAATTAGATCATCTGGATTTAAATTCTGACTCTGCCACTCATTAGCTATATAATCTTGGAAGTCACCTTCTTTGTGCTCAACCATAAAATGGAGATACTGGCACATAAAGCAGTGATTAAGAATTATGAAACACTATAAATGTTTTTGAAAGTAAAGCACTTGTTCATTAGAAACCAAATTGCCAAATTTTGGAAAAATCTTGTAAATTTCAAATGTTGTCAACTTCAAATTTCAAAAATTGTGTGGGCCACACAAAATGTCATATTCAGATTTAAGCAGCCCGTTTATGATCTCTGCTATTCTTATTTTCTTCCTCTGTTCAATACTTGGCAGGCAATACTTAGGCCCTCAGATACAAAGATAGATACCTCACACACTCAGAGAAATTAGGTTAGTCCGAATTTCTTTCTTTTTTTTTTTAATACTTTTTAGTTGTTGATGGACCTTTATTTATTTGTATGTGGTGCTCAGAATAGAACCCAGTGCTTCACGCATGCTAGCCAAGCACGCTACCACTGAGCCATAACCCCTGCTCCCCGAATTTCTTCACTGTTCTGCCTCTTCACAAATCAATGGAAAGAATCAAATAAGAAATGTGAAAATGCTAAGAAAAAACATGCACATTGGATTTTGAAAATAGAATCTATTGAATTTACTTTTGAGCTTTTAATTTAAAACATTTTTTAAATGTACATATAGTAAAATCTTTTCCATGCACATTCCTGAGTTTTAATACAATATAGATTTACGTAACCACCATCACAATCAGGATGTAGAGCACTTCTAACAGCCTGAGTATTCCCTGAGTATTCTGTTCCTTCATGATCAATCATTTGCTCAACCCGACTTGGTCCTGTCCTTGTTTGCCTTTTCCAGAAAGTAATATAAGTGGAATTATAC